TTAAGTGTGTAGTTCAGTGGCATTAAGTACATTCACATTGTTGGGCAACCACCGCCGCCATCCATCTCCAGAACTGTTTTATCAGCCCTGACTGAAACTCCATACCCATTAAACACTAACTTCCCCCAGCCGTGGCAACCACTGCTGTACTCTCTGCCTAACAATTTAACTGCGCCAGGTACCACATAGAAGTGGAATCATACAGTATTTGTCCTTCAGTGCCTGGCTTATTTAAGTTAGCATAATGTCTTCAAAGTTCTTCTATGTCGTGGCATGTATCAGAATTTTATTGAAGACTGAATAATATTCTGTGGTACATATTTGTTTATCATAATCTGTTGATGGGCATTCAGGTTGTTTCCATCTTTTGGCTATTGCTATGAACATTGGTGTATAAATATCCATTTGAGTCTTCTGGGTACTCAGAGTGGAATTGCTGGATCATGTGGTAAATCTATGTTTAATTTTTTTTTGGAACCATTATACTGTTTTCCACAGTTGCTGCACCATTTTACATTCTCACCAGCATTGCATGAGGGTTACAACTTCTCCACATCCTTGCCAATGCTTATTTTCTATTTTTTGCTGTTATTGTTTTTATAATAGCCATCCTAATGAGTGTGAAGTAGTATCTCATTGCAGTTCTCATTTGTTTTTTAAGCAATATTTGTAGTTAGTACAAAAGACCCAGTAAATTTGGAAATTTAGATATTACATTAATCAATATCTGGTGCAAATTAGGTACATATATATATATATATATGCACGCATGTATTAATTTATTCTTCTGCTAGCCCTAAAATTATGTGAGATGGCTTTTAAGAACATGTAAACAATAAGATGAATAATATTATGCAAATAGCTCAATTCATGGCACTGGGAATATAGAAGAAAACTAAAAAAAAAAGAATCTATAGCCCAAATTAGATGAACATGAAAGTATATTGTATGTCCCCTACGATTACTAAAATTGGGATGAAATAGTCAATTCTGAACTTCCTAGTGGCCAAAGAAAAAAGGGAAAAAGGTCACTAACATGGTTTGTTTATTTGAGATGATGAAAGCACAGGAAAGTACAAGGCTTTTCTTGGCTCATTGATGTAAGAAATGAACTATAATTATTTTGAAGGTTTTTTTGTTTTGAGGAGAAGGAAAGTTTATTAATTTGCCAGCCAATGAGGAGGTTGGCAGACTCCCACCTCAAAGTAGCAACATCCTCCCTCAGAGCAGAAGTACAGAGCTTTTAAAGGTTCTGATTAATCCCATAATCCATCTTTGGCTAAAACAATCTCCTGACCTCCCCGGGCAATTCCCCTGAGCCATCTCCTGTGGCACAAAGAACAAAGGACACTCTCCTTCTCCTCCCGACCACTGGCCTGAGGCAGGGATGTAGGTTTTAATTCTCAGAAAGGGTGAGAGGGTTTTGAAGAGACAGAAAACATTTTTACCCTTTTTCAGGCCATTTTCTCTGTTACATATTCCCCACTGTCAATTTTACCCTTCCACGTCTATGGGAGGAGGGTTGACGTCATCGGGCTACTTCCTGCTGACTTGGGGTGATGTTTTAGATGGAAGGTGCGGATTATCAGGTGGAAAAGGGCGTACGCGGTAACTACCACCAGGAGGACTGACAAGGTGAGATGGACTGCCACCGTGCACACGATGTCCAATACACAGCTGGCTTAGAACAGAAACGTGGGACCTCTGAGTGCAGAGCTATAAATTGGACCCTGTATGTGATCTGAGAGACCAACTTCTGCAAATTCAGAAATCATGGAAGTACTTGCACCAAAGGAGGTTTAGGATAACACACCCGGCAGCAAGACAGATCAGCAGAAGAGGTGATAGTCCAGAAGTCCTCACTGAGTTGTCTCTCTGTCTTTGGTATAGTGGACCCAAGGTTTCACTACTGACAATTTTAACAAGGTGTGACTTGTTAGAGGCGCTTCATAGTCTTATTTTGAAGTTTTTAAAGAGACAATTATGTTACTGACATCAGATTTCAGACTGAAAGCAAACATAATTTTTCATTAAATTATTGGGGTTGGAAATGACTCCACAGACTGACCATTAGACTGCTTTTGTGTAAACAGTAGCTTCAATGTACAATTAGGAAAATAAAAAGTCAAACTCCACCTATCTCAGCAGAGCCATAAGTTCTATATTCCTTTGGACTTTAGTCAGGTAATGTTTTATGTGGTACAACAGGTAAAATCTTAAGTTGCCTCATTTTACATATGTACCTGACATTTCCTTGCCAGGTTACAGATTATAAATGTATATGTGTTTAGTACAAATAGTCTTCTTAAAAATATATCCTTACCTTCCTTTTTTTTTTTTTTTGAGAGAGAGCCTCTCGGCCTAGCTCACAGCAACCTCACACTCCTGGGCTCAAGCGATCCTCCTGCCTCAGCCTCCCAATAGCTGGGACTACAGGCATGAGCCACCATGCCTGGCTAATTTTTTCTATTTTTAGTAGAGATGGGATGTCGCTCTTGCTCAGGCTGGTCTCGAACTCCTGAGCTCAAACAATCCACCCGCCTCGGCCTCCCAGAGTGCTGGGATTACAGGCGTGAGCCACCGCGCCCGGCCTTATCTTCCATTTTTAGGGAGGGAAAGATCTTCGTGTTCAAATCTGATACTGAAATTTCTTTTTCAACTTGAAACTACAGGAACTAATGTCTCATTTTAAATTTATACTAGAAAAAACTTTATGATAACTGGAGATGTTGTCAAACTAGTTTCCAAGCACTTGAATAGCAAAGAAAACAAAAAATAAGAATAGAAGCCACATCCAGCAGATATTTTTAAAGAACTGAGAAAATTGGTCTTATGGAAAGAATTAGTCTGAAGTTTTACTCAGAGGTTTGGTTGAAAAATATTAACTGACATTTCTTGAGCATTTACAATGTTAGAGGCACAGTTCAAAGTGCTTTGTGTGTTAACACTTTTATTCATCTAAATTTAATGAGGTTAATACTATGATTATTCCCATTCTACGGGTAGGGAAACTGAGGCATGGAGCAGCTGAGTATCTTTGCTCCAGATCATATAACTAGGAAGTGTTACGAGCTGGGATTCATACACAACTATGTGGTCTGCCTCCAAAGGCCACATGCTTACCCCAAACTACTGCCTCTTGATGTTATAGCAAAAGAAACAGGACTATTTTGGCAATTTGGCAAATAAATATCTCAGATTTGTTTTATGTCATTATAGTTTTTTTTTTCCTTTAGATGATCAAACTCACCTTAATTGTCCTTGAAAATTCCCTTAATAATCTTGTATTCAATTCCTGGTACTAAATTTTTAAAAATGAATAATGCTCCAGTTTCTAATTAACTGATGAAACCTTATGCAGCCATTAAAAATGATGTTTTTTTTTTTTTTATTTCAGCAAATTATGGGTGTACAGATGTTTAGGTTACGTGTGTTGCCCTTGGTTCCCCCCCCCACCGAAGTCCGTGTTTCAAATATGTCCATCCTTCGGGTAAAAATGATGTTTTTACAAAGAGTTTTAAGAACACAGAAGAATATTTATAAAATAAAGTAGCAGGAGGTAAATTTGTAAAAAGCCAAGCTCTACTCCGTCCCCCTCCAAAAAAAACTAGCTTTCATTGGCTAGGAGAATTAAGAATGATTTCTTGTTTATTTTTCTTAATTTTCTATATAATTTAATACTTTTATAGTCCAAAAAATGAAGTAGACTTCATTTTTCAAAAGGCCAGTCAGAGCCTCTCATTACAAAAGTGCAGCCTGCAGCACTTGGCGCTGACCCTAGTGTAGCATTTGGAATCACTTCCACGGAGCCTGTACTGTATGAGGGAGACGGCACAGTTCAGACCTGCACTGCTATGTGTGGCTATTTAATTTTAAACTAATTAAAATTAAATAAAATTTAAAATTCAGTTCCTCAGTCACATTAGCCCCATTTCAAGTGCTCAGTAGCCACCCGTGGCTAGGTGACAGCTTCTCCAGCATCGCAGAAAATTCTGTTGCATAGCACTGGTTTAGAAGAAAGAACGCAGAATCAGGAGCCAGAAGACTTGGAATCAAGTCCTCTTACATTGCCACTTGCTGTGCGAAATGGGGCGATTTTCTCAGGCTCTCTAAGCCTATTTCCCCAGGGGCAAATTGGGACTAATGATAATACCATTTACCACTTATGTAAGTTAAGAAGATTAAATAAGAGAATGCAGGTGACAGCTCTCTGAAAACGACAGTATAGTTTACCAGGTAGATAGACGTAGCTTCCCAAGTCCCCCAGTTTGAAGTTAATCTAGCTCTTTGTAGACTGATTCCAAACCCATGAATGCTTCATACCAGGAATTTTGCCTGAACGACACCGTAAAAATCAGATTTACTGTAGTTCCCAGACCAAGTCTGTGGCAGTGTGGACATTCCATCTCTTCCTTGTAAAAAGCTTCAGTACACAGCTCTGTATTTATCTTATATAACTCCTCCTTTAATAAAGTCTTCACTATAAACACATTGCTCTAGTTCCATTTCTACAATGAAAAAGACTGCCTTAAAATAAACAGAATAGAAATAAAAATAAATAGAATAGAAAAAGGCTGTATTCTAAGAAATGAGTGAGGTTTGTAAAACGCCATATAACTAAGGGAAATCAATCTAAGTTGACAGTGCAGGCATCAAGCAAAAGATCTTGCCACTTGCTGCAAGAAGCATGAGGTCTTCTCCAACGAGGACAGCAGGTTCTCTTAAACTTCAACGCTGTCGGGGTACCAATGAAGCGGAAATACTTGCTCATTCCGGTATTCGTTCCCCCCAGAGTCACTTCTGGGTTTTGCTGCAAGACAGCTTGACTCTTTTAGATGAGTTTAGGTCTGCCGCATTTCCAAAACGCCTCCACCCCATTTCTCATTTAACCACCGGATGGCCTATTAAAAAGTGCACCGCGCAAGGTGCAAGAAAACGCGGAGTCAGCGCCAGCTGCCGGCCGGGTCGGTCCCCACTCACGCTCCCTTCTGCCTCCCCAGGTCCCCGGCCGCGGGCGCCTTCCACGCGATGACCGCAGAGGACTCCAGCGCAGCCATGAGCAGCGACGCGGCCGCCGCCGGCTCCCAGGCGCCCGAGGGCGTGGCGGGCGCGCCCAACGAGGCGGCGCTGCGGGCGCTGATGGCGCGCACGGGCTACAGCCTGGCGCAGGAGAACGGGCAGCGCAAGTACGGCGGGCCGCCGCCCGGCTGGGAGGGCCCGCGCCCGCAGCGCGGCTGCGAGGTCTTCGTGGGCAAGATCCCGCGCGACGTGTACGAGGACGAGCTGGTGCCCGTGTTCGAGGCGGTGGGCCGCATCTACGAGCTGCGCCTCATGATGGACTTCGACGGCAAGAACCGCGGCTACGCCTTCGTCACCTACTGCCACAAGCTGGAGGCCAAGCGCGCCGTGCGCGAGCTCAACAACCACGAGATCCGCCCGGGCCGCCTGCTGGGCGTGTGCTGCAGCGTGGACAACTGCCGCCTCTTCATCGGCGGCATCCCCAAGACGAAGAAGCGCGAGGAGATCCTGGAGGAGATCGCCAAGGTCACCGAGGGCGTGCTCGATGTGATCGTCTACGCCAGCGCGGCCGACAAGATGAAGAACCGCGGCTTCGCCTTCGTGGAGTACGAGAGCCACCGCGCGGCCGCCATGGCGCGCCGCAAGCTCATGCCTGGCCGCATCCAGCTGTGGGGCCACCAGATCGCCGTGGACTGGGCCGAGCCCGAGATCGACGTGGACGAGGACGTGATGGAGACCGTGAAGATCCTCTACGTGCGCAACCTCATGATCGAGACCACCGAGGACACCATCAGGAAGAGCTTCGGCCAGTTCAACCCGGGCTGCGTGGAGCGCGTCAAGAAGATCCGCGACTACGCCTTCGTGCACTTCGCCAGCCGCGAGGACGCCGTGCGCGCCATGAACAGCCTCAACGGCACCGAGCTGGAGGGCTCGTGCCTGGAGGTCACGCTGGCCAAGCCGGTGGACAAGGAGCAGTACTCGCGCTACCAGAAGGCGGCCAAGGGCGGCGGCGCGGCCGAGGCGGCGGCGCCGCAGCCCAGCTACGTGTACCCCTGCGACCCCTACACGCTGGCCTACTACGGCTACCCCTACAACGCGCTCGTCGGGCCCAACAGGGACTACTTCGTGAAAGGTTAGTGGGGCTCTTCTCCCGGGCGGCGTCCTCGAGCCCGCCTCCTGGGCAGGGGCCGTCCGCGTGTCCGCAGCGTCCCGGCTGTAACGTGCTGAGCTGCTCCTTTGAGTGGCTGTTCTGCCTTCCGTTCTTTGCTAGCGCTTAAGGCAGTCACTTCTGTAGCACTGAAGGAAGTGCAGATCATTGTGGGGTGAACGGTAAAATCATGGGGTGTGCAAGCTCTTGCATTCTGCCTTGCCGGGGTCACCAGATTTGGGGCTAGTCGGCCAGTCTCTTGGCACTTAGCTTAAAACCTGATTGTGATATTAAATCTTAAGGCGGGGGCAATGTTTTTTGTTGTATTTTATAATTGCTGATTAGGATATAATGAGACCAGGCATTACGCCAGAAAATAAGACACCCAGGTGCCGGGTCCTGCTCTTTGGTTAACTGGGTTTGTGGCTTTAGTCAGTCACTTTAACATCCCCTGGCCTGTTTCCTCAAGCACGAAACGTGGAAGGTAGAGTAGCAGATCCCCTTCCAGATCTAACTTTGATACAGTCTATGAATGTTTGCCTTTGCTGAAATTGCAAATGCAGTCTCAGGAGCTCACCTGGCGAATGTGCACTAAGGAAGTCGTGGACCATGCAGCTACACTTAGGGTGCAAATCTAGGCTGAAGTAGGATGTTGGAGACGTACTTACCAGCGCATTAAAGGTATAGCCACCTGCAACTTAGACTCGGGGCAAACAGCCACATTCCAAGAGCCATGAGCCAGGGTCTGCCTCCTGTGCCGTCGCTGCTGGGTGCTCACCATGTTTTGTGTTGTTATTATAAGCAGGCAGCGTAAGAGGCCGAGGGCGAGGTGCGGCTGGCAACAGAGCCCCAGGGCCCAGGGGTTCCTACCTTGGGGGATATTCTGCTGGCCGCGGTATATATAGCCGATATCATGAAGGAAAAGGAAAGCAGCAAGAAAAAGGATATGAACTTGTGCCGAATTTGGAAATCTCTACCGTCAATCCAGTTGCCATTAAACCTGGCACAGGTCAGTATAAACCAGATGGAGGATGTGTCCCTTCAGCCTAAACTCCGGCCCTCTTTTGAAGTGAGTCCAAGTCTGTCTCGGGCTCTCACATCTGCGCGTGGCCTTCTCTTCTCATAGGCAGCCAGAGACTAGGCAAAAACAAAGCTGGAACTTAAGGGGACGACGCGGACGGCCTAGCTCTCGCCGTGTCCGCATCAGAGTTTCTGGCAGTAAGTTTTTCAAATGGATGTCACCAGTTGTTAGGCTTTTTCTGCATCTTCAGCTGGGTAGGCAAAGGGTGGGGGTTGGGGTTGGGGGAAGAACAGAAGAATATGAGGCTCTCTGTGTCTTTTAGCTAAAACCTGTCTTTTCCCTACTCGGCCTGTTTCTACCTCAACCTTCAGAAGCCAGAGGGTGCAGCTATTGCCCGTTCTGAGAGTTGTTGGGAAAGGTAGAATATTCCCCTTCAGGAGCAAACAGCACCGTTTGTCCATGGTCTGAGCAGACAAGAATGCCTGGGACAAGGCAGCAGTGCAGGTTTTTGCAGCTGCTCATTCCCTGGATTCTGATTTCCAGCACTCATTTCCTCTTCCACCGGGGGCCGGTAGATCGGGAGTAGGGATGCCCAAGTATTTCAGGCTGGGGACCCTGAACTTCACTTTCACCCCAGGCCCCACAACCCAGTGTGCCAATGTCATTAGTGCCCATGGTCACCTAATGTGAGGCAGGTCTTCGGATTCAAACCTGCAAAGAACATGAACTCCATTGTGTGAGTCTAGCACAAATTCGATAATAACACACACCACACAAGCATCCAAACGTATGGAAAGTTCAGTCCGTGGGTAATTGGAATGATCCTCCTCTAGACCTCTTGCTGGCTTCACGGAGGGTAGATTGGAGAGCTGTTTAAAGCTTAGCTACTCTGGTTTTCTTCTGGTTGAGACTGCACTTCCTCCCCTAGCTAGAGTCAAGGAGCCAAGCATTTGGGACACAGGTTCACATTGGCCTCCTGGGGCCAAAGAGCAGTTTCCCAGCGAGCCCTCTTTTGAAGAATCTAATGAAGATTTTTTTGCCTGTGTAAAAATTATGTAATCTTTGCAGCGAAGTGACTCCTTCGACTGTATTTTCTTATAAATGCCATTGGCAGCTGGGTGTGCTGGCTCACGCCTGTAGTCCCAGCACTTTAGAAGGCCAAGGCAGGAGGATCGCTTGAGGCCAGGAGTCGGAGACATAATTTAAGAAAATAGAGAATTCTCTAATTTTTTAATGGGCAACATAGTGAGACCCCATCTCTATAAAAAAATTTTTTAAAAATTATCTGGGCGTGGTGGTCCACACCTGTAGTTCCTAGCTACTTGGGAGGCCGAGGCGGGAGGATCACTTGAGCTTAGGAGATCGAGGCTGCAGTGAGCTGTGATCATGTCACTGTACTCCAGCCTGGGCAACACAGCGAGACCTTGTCTCTAAAAAGATAAACAAACAAATGCCTTTGGGACTGTGAGCAGTGTAAAATTGATCCTATAGCTCTGAAGCTCCATAAAACAGAACCTGGATATAGCAACTGTTGCTTCTACTTGTTGGGAAAGGGATTTCTATTGACAAGTTACAGTAGCCTAAGGTTGAACAAGAGAAAAGAGCTTTTAAATAATCTTTAGCCATTTAAAAATGCGTTCTGGGCCCTGAGGGCCAGTAGCCAGAACAGCTCAGAGTTGGTACAACCCCATGTAGCTCAATCTCACAGCCCTCTCTGGGCCCCATCCCTTTGATTCTGGTTCTGATCATCCAGAAAATTAGAATTTTGTATTTTAAGAGAGACGCCAGGGTAGTAGTGCAATATCTAGGCACAAGACCAATAGAAGATACGATTGGAAAGGCAGGTAAAAGATTTGGTTAAGATTTTAGATATATTTTATTGAATGGCTGTACCATCGTTTAGCTTACAGCCATTTATCTCTTTACGTTTGATCAAGTCAGTCTTTAATATAATAAATGTACCTACAGTTGTAGAAAAGCCATAAATGAAAGCGTTCTTTGTGTATGCATTTCACATTTTTTGGTTATCCTTTCAACACGTGCAGCAAGCACATACACAAATCCCCCAAACTAGGGCCAGTATCCTTTTGATCTCCTTATCAGACATTGACATTTAATAACTGCTATGTTTTTGAATCTCTGGTTGCAATCAGCCCTTTGTACTTTAGTCACAGAAATTCTTCGAATTGGCAGGCCCACAAAAAAAAATAGTCACTTCACTGCTTTACTACTATGAGTGGACATTAAGAAATTAGGGAGTTCTCTATTTTTTTAAATTATGTATTTTTCCTTGAATTGGTGATGTTGAAATCTGAAATGCAGGATGAGGAGGATACACAGGTCTCTGAGTTCTCAGAATGAAACCCCCAGCAGCACCTGCTTCTTAAAAAGTGGCGAGAGTGAAAAAGGCAGTCAGTCTGGCGATGAGTGAGGTGGGTGAGAAGGAGCGGGCAGACTCCCCGTCACACATGCTGGGCCTCAAGCCTCTGATCTCGCCGATTCTGAGCCCATTTTCTCAGAGTTAGAAGGCCCTTCCTTGTTCAGGACATGAGAATATGTTTCAAAATGAGCTTTTCCTACAGAAGTAGTAGAAAATGTTGGTGCAGAAGCCTAACTCTAGGCTTCCCTTCCGCGCTGATCGACTGGGAGCCTCCATACCCTGTGGTTCCTTTGCAAGACAAGCAGGGCAGTTGCCTGCCACCTGCCGTCTCTTCCTTTTGGGTAGCAAATACCTGGTTACATGGCTTGTACTAAAAGACCATTAATTAGCATAGAGAGGCCCATGACTGCTAAACTTGGTTTGTAAACATGCATAGAGTGCTTGATAGACTGTTCTTGGTGACTGAAAGTGATTGACCTGTTCTTCCCTCTTTGCTTCTCTTGCAGTAGCCATCCCCGCCATCGGGGCCCAGTATTCCATGTTTCCAGCAGCCTCAGCCCCTAAAATGATCGAAGACGGCAAAATCCACACAATGGAGCACATGATCAGCCCTATTGCCGTGCAGCCAGACCCAGCCAGTGCCGCTGCCGCGGCCGCTGCCGCCGCTGTTATTCCTGCTGTGTCGACGCCGCCACCCTTTCAGGTTGAGTTCTTGCTGCAGTCGTTGTAATCTGTGTGTGAAGCCTCTCTTTATCACGCGTGCATTTAGTGTCCAGCACTGAGAATTTACCGTGTGCCTAGCTCTCTGTTAGAGCCGTGGGGTTGGGTGACACAGAGCGTTTTTAATGTGAATCGTAACAGAAAAGAAAAATTTTAAATAATAATTGGACTGCCCTAATATTATCATTGTACTAAGGACGGGAAGCAATATGAGAAAATGACATGTGTGATGTTTCACAGTGTCATAACATTGCACAGACCATTTTTTTTAAATGGCACTGGATAATTGCTAGCTCACGTTGTTAAAGAGCTGACATTCGAAGTCCAGGGAGCTCTTTCACATTTTCACATTCCAAGTTGCAGCTCAAGGAAGATTTTAAAAAAACGTTTACCCCATATATATATGTGAGTGTGTGTGTTTGTATATTTATGTGGAGGGAGGAGAGAGAGAGAATATATATACATACATTAAATGAAATTTTACAAAATCTGCCTGTAATTCTCTCCTCCAACCTCATCTCCCACTATTCCCCTATCTCTTCCCAAACTAATCTCACCATTTTGGACTCCTCCCCCATCTTTGTTCACAGCGTTCTCTTTTTTTTTTTTTGAGACAGACTCTCCTGCTCTTTCACCTGGGCTGGAGTGCCGTGGCATCAGCCTCGCTCACAGCAACCTCAAACTCCTGGGCTCAAGCGATCCTCCTGCCTCAGCCTCCCAAGGAGCTGGGATTTATAGGTGTGCACCACCATGCCTGGCTAATTTTTTTTATTTTTAGTTGCCCAGCTAATTTCTTTCCATTTTTAGTAGAAACGGGGGTCTCACTCTTACTGAGGCTGGTTTCAAACTCCTGACCTCAAGCGATCCTCCAGCCTCGGCCTCCCAGAGTGCTAGGATTTACAGGCGTGAGTCACCGCACCCGGCCCACAGTGTTCTCTTAGCTATGGTTTCTTTAGTCTCACCTCTTCACAGAATCTTTCCCCACCCACCAGGCCTAGGGAATCTTCTCTCCTGTACTTCTCATTACTACGTCATTACTTAGCTTTTGGCTGCCAATGTGTTCTCTCTCCCCAGTTAAAATGAAGCTCCTGCAGCCCAAAGGCTATCTCTTAGGTCTCTTTGTGTCTTTGCATAGCACATAGGGAGTATGTCTGTTTAACAGAAAAAACAATCTTATTTTAAAGCTATTCTCTGAGGCAGAGAATCACCAACACCAATCACAGTTATCATAATCGGGCCCAGGGGCTCTCACCCAGGTGAGTGAGAATTATCCAGGGCATATGTTTAAAAAACGGAGATTCTTAGACTCAAACCTCTGAAGGTTCCAATTCAGTTGACCTGGGCTGGAGTTCTGGAATTGATATTTCGTACAAGTTCCTCAATGATTTGGAAACAGAGCCAGGCTTGTGAACCTCCTCAACGGGATGCTGTTGACTTGCCTTTGCCTACTCTGAGCCTGAGTCGTGACTGCATTGTTCACAGAGGGCCAAGCTGGTTGGAGGTTATCCATCCATCAGTATGTCATCAAGTGTTCTTTAACTCGGACCTCCAAAAGACAAAATAAGGACTCGGTTGTAGGTGACTCACTGTAGAGTGACAGCTAGGTGTAGTTACTACTTGCAGACTGCCTATAAATATCTGTGGTAACTTGCAAACGATACTTAGTGGTATCTGACGATAATTTCTAATTCTTCTTTACTGAGAAACTCATGAACCTTTGGTAAGTGGTGTCAGTTCTGGTCAGGTCCAAATTCCAGGCCCCATGGTCATGTTCTGGGCCCCAGACTATTCCTGTCTCATATCAGTCTGCACTAGAAGTTGCCATTGGGTCCTTATTCACAGTCTTTGCTTATGAATTTGCTCGAAGTACAATCCATTGATTCCCACGGAGATTTTTCCTCCTCGAGCAAATTCTGCAGAATGCCTAGAGCCCTTACTTTTTAACTTGAGAATGGCTTCTGCGGGCGTGTGGGGCCTGGGTGCTGTCTCTGGAGTCTGAGTGCTGTGCGTCCCCATCTGAGGTCTTTAACTCGGGTTCTCTGACATGTTCTGCCTTCCACCTCTTTTGAATTCTCTTCCGAATTGCAGCAGAGGAAGGGGGATTTTAAGCACTACTGATCGACAAGAAGAACACCTTTCTGGGCAGGAGTCACACTGGAAACTGATCTTCCAGCATGGCTTTCAGAACCTACCTGTGGGGTCCCTTTGGTCATCCTCCCCTGCCTTGCAGGTGCTCAGGGGTATTCCTGTTTATATCAAAAATTTCACGTAGCCTTTGCAAGCAATAAAAAAATATTTGCTGGTATAGGCTTAATTACATCTTCGAACTAATCTCTCATACTTTTCTCAATGTTCACAGCAAATCTGTGGTGTAGGTAGAGCAAGGATAACCATTCCTCTTTGACAGCAGGGAAAACCACAGGGAACCGTCACCCGAATTGGAAGTTAAAGATGTTAAGTCATAAACGGTTTCTCCGCTACCACTATTGCATTTTTCTTTAGTGCTTTTCTTTGATGAAGCCGTATTAACGCACTTGGACGTCGGTACATATCCACGGGGGATACATTTCAAGACCTCAGTGGATGCCTGAAACCACAGACGATACCAAACCCTAAATATACACGAATTTCTTTTTCCTTCTTCACAATTTCAGGGATAGAAGATTTCCTTCTTACTGGAGATTTTACCAACCTGGGCATACTTTTTTTTTTCTACTAAGTCAAGAAGTTTCACCTTTTCACTTAAAGGAAGCACTTTATGGCTTCTCTTTGACATATCCAAATTGCTGGTGTCGCTGCTCTTGTGCTTTGGGGCCAATATTAAGTAAAATAAGGGTGACTTGAACACTGTGACAGTCGACCTGATGACTGAGGCGGCTGCCGAGCGACTCGCGGGCAGGAGCGCAGGCAGCGTGGATGCGCCGGACAAAGGAGCGATTCGCTTCCAGGCCGGAGAGGGACGAGATTTCATTGTGTTACTCAGAATGGCATAATATTTAAAACTCGTGAATTGTTTATTTTTGGAATTTTCCATTAATATTTTCAGATCATAATTGACCGCAGGTAACTGAAACTTCAGAGAGTAAAACCGTGGGTACGGGGGGGACGCACTGCGCCGCGTGTGGCTCTCTGCAGAAGTCTTTCCCGTGTGCGCGGTCTTCCTGCGCGTCAGACAAGTAAGGCTCAGGGAGGCGACAGAACTGCCTTAGCGCCACATGGCTGGTCGGGGCAGAGTTGGGACTGGAAGACCAGTGCCTGACCTATGCTCTGTCCTTATGTCACAGTGAATGCCACCCTAAAAGGGACATCACAGGGACTGAAAAGAGAAGCCATGAGTTTAGCGATTTCAGGCCGAGGGCTGGTGCACGTTTGCGTGCGTGGCCCGGTGCTGCACTGTGCACATGGCGCAGTTTCTCTCGGGTGTCACCTTCTCCGTGATGGCCTCCCTTTGTTGATTTGTTATTAAGCCTGTGTCCACACGTGTGGAAAAGATGGCTGTGTCTTTCTGTGAACCACGGTGTTCCCTCCTCTAAGCTCCCCTCCCAGGTCGTAAAGGGTCGCTCACGAAACACCCGTTGGATAGAGTCGCAGGAGGCGAGATAACCTGGGGCTAAAAGTGTAGGCTCCAGAGTTGCAGGCTCTGTGGCTTAAAAGCTGTGTCTCTTTGTGCGAGTCACCGAACACATCTAACACACCCACACTTCTCCATGTAGTCATGGTGCCAGCTTTGCTGGTGGCTGTGACGATTCAGTACTCGCATACAAATGAGGCACTTACTGCCTGGCAGACAATAGTCTCTCAGTCGTTATTAGTTGTTCTGATTGTCATTAGTATGATTATTATTTTGATTACAAGTGAAAAAGTACTCTTAGGTTATAAGTTCCTTTGAACAGAATTTTGTGGTTCTAATTTGCAGATTTTGTAAGATAAATGGGAACTAATTCCTTTAGAAAAATCCAGGAAGAATTAATTTTACTAATTCCCCATTTCATATATCCTGAATTGTTTATTTTGAACATGTATTAAGACATAGAGAGACTGTACTACAGGGTGTTCTGTGGAACATAAGACGTGCCAGATATTTTGTTAAATGAATGTTTTATTACTATTTTATCCAAAATCCCTTTTCCATAAAGCAGCTCCACGGCAAGCACTTTGGGAAACACTGACCACAGTCTTCCCACTTGGACTCCTGTTTGTTCTGAAAATCTAGTGTACTGCACTTCCCAGTGGACAGAAGGAAGCAGCAGGGACTTTCACAGAGCCGGTGGTGGCCGTCTGCAGTTGAGGCAGCTTCACTTGGCTTGTCCTTCCGTCCCTACTTCCTCCTCACTCGGAAACTCCTCCTAATCCTTCAAAACCCAGCTCAAATGTCCCTACTTCTGAGATGTCTTCTCCAGCTCCCAAGTTATCTGGTTCCTTCTCTAAGCTCTACAACAGTTTGCGTATTTAGTGGTGTCGTATCTTAGGTGGGAGATGGTGGAAACCATCACATTGGCTGAAAATTGTGTATGGTCACAGTTTTTTAAGGTCGTAGCTTAAGACGCTGCCCCTTCGGAGACCAGGATGCCTTGTTGCACTACATTAGCACAGGCTGCTCTCCTCTCTGTTCTCGAAACAGACTGTGTTTCATCAGTGAAGTATGAGTTGAGGCAGCTGGCACATAGGGGCCATGTTTTAGGAAAAATATTTATTTTTAGTAGATTCTCAATTCCCTTCCCTAGCTCGCTCTGAGGCGTAGACCGATTGAGTGGAATGGAGGGTGGAAGATTCAGAGTACAGCTCAGAGAAGGCCTCCTTATCCACAGCTTCTGCCTCCGCAGATTCAACAATTGTGGCTTGAAAATATTTGAAAAAATAAAAACAATAAAAGAATACAACAATAAAAAATACAAATAAAAATACGCTATAACTTTTATATATGTGGCATTTACATTGTATTAGGTGTTGTAAGTAATCTGGAGATGATGTACAGTATACGTGGGTTACGTGCACAGGCTGCGTACAAATACCGTGTCTGTCTCACCAGGGGCTGAGCATCTGAGGACAGCGGTACCCACAGGGGCGCCGGAACCAGCCCCCGCACACAGCGAAGGCAGCTCTGCTCCAGCTTTCCCCTGGCTTCCTCGTTCTCTCGCTCTCACGAGGTCGCGCGCATGGAATCTGAGGGCGCCACTCCACCTTCCCTCTTCCGTGTCTCTTACCCTGCCTCATCTTACTCCTTACGCTGCTCCTATGTGTGTGCGCCTCCGCCTTCCTGTCCTGAGAATGGAAACCTGCGCTTTGGCCTCTCTGCGCCCCATTCCCGGGGAGGAGCTGGTTGAATGAGCGGACGACAGGTACGTACGCGCGTTCAGGAAGGATTCTTTTTGTCTTCCCTCCTCAGGGCCGCCCGATAACTCCCGTCTACACGGTGGCTCCCAACGTGCAGAGGATTCCCACGGCCGGGCTCTACGGGGCCAGCTACGTGCCGTTCGCCGCTCCGGCCGCAGCCACGATCGCCACGCTGCAGAAGAACGCGGCGGCCGCCGTGTACGGGGGCTACGCGGGCTACATACCTCAGGCCTTCCCCGCCGCCGCCATTCAGGTCCCCATCCCCGACGTCTACCAGACGTACTGAGCGCTGACAGCGAAGGCAAACCGCGGGAACGCCGCTGAAGGAACGCTTTACTATTTATGAAGAAAGAACATGGTGGATTCGCACATACATGCAGCCTGAAAGTGAAGAATGCTATGAAATCCCATACTGAAATATTTTATATACATGAAGTTTTCACTAGTTTTTTAAGACTATTTTCAGTTTAGCAGGCCTGTGTTCATACATTTCTAAGAGACTTGCAATGGTTCGTGCCTTGATACCATCTTTTAAAAATTTGTATGCCGTACCACATTTGTATAGAGGTTTTTGTTGTTTTTTTTAAGGATATATTTTCAGTATGAAGGTTATTTTCTTAACTTCTGCACTCCAGAGATTTCTATTTTGTAGTATCTTCAATAATATATCAACTATAGATTTAAAAAGCACACTTGAGCAGCTAGGGAACTATTTTGAAAAATATATTCAATATTCAGAGATACAGTAGTGCTTTAAAATACTACATAAAACGTTATTTTAAAGGTTATACTGGAAAGTGCAATTTTAAAATGAGTAAAACCTCTCTATTTCCACTGGTGTTAAGGGTTGACGGTGTTACTATGTGTTAGCCATGGCGGTTCTGGTTTTTAAAAGAAGTTAAACACTCAGTCTCTCCTTAAGCCAACACTGAAAAGACTTGTCATACTTCCTGAGTCCAAACACTGGAAAGTGCTCACCTGCCACTGTCGCCCTGCGCTTATTCTCCGTGTGCCTTTACCCTTAAAAATGCCCCACCACCTCCATCTCTCACCCTCTCCCCTCCTCCCCAAATCCCAAACCAACCCCCGTGTTTGGCAAGTCTAGGACAAACAAGTAACTCTGGTAGAGGGAACAGCTGGTGGGTTTTATACTACTTCTCCTTGGGTTTTTGCTGGGGTTTTTTGTTTTCTTGTGGGTTTTTTTGTTTGTTTGTTTTGGTGGGGAGGTATTATCTTCTATGTGTGCTATTTTCAATAGCAGAGTAAGCACAAGGTTTTAATAGGTTTGTGTAAGACATCTTTGCATAGCCTATTGCATTGCCCAATATAAAACTTTAATTCCCATTCTAATGCTTTTATTCATTTTTGAAGTGTGAGTTTGCAGGGGCAAAGAATGTATGTTATTGCAGACAACACCCCCAAAGGCTGTCGTCAGCAGAGACTTCTGCTTCTAGCTGCCTTAGCATGTTTCTTGCGAAATGTCTGTCCTCAAGGGTGTTGCAAGCATTGTGTTTGTAGAATGGGGCTTTCCTCTGTTGCTGGGCACTTGGCAGGTGAACTAAACCGGGGTGTGCACCTCCAGAGGAGGAGGAGAGACCTATAGGAGTTAAAAGATAGTTTGTAAATATCTCCTAATGCTTGTTTTTAGTCCTTTTTTGTTGTAGAACTTCATAGTATGTAGTTTAATGCAAAATGATACCATTTTGTTTCACTGTTATTAAAGAGGTTTGTTTTATTAGGAAATAAATGTATTGTTGCAGTGTTTCGTGCCTGTGTAAAGGCTTCTGTTTAGCAGAGTGAATGTAAAATACAGTAAAACGTTAAGACTGTCATCTGCTTTATGAACTATATCAACGTGGAATTTTTTTAAAGGCTCAATCAAGGAAGTGAGGTGTGCAATACGGTAGCAGATACAGAATTGGGTTTTTGTGTCATGTTAGATCCATAAAATCTTTCCACTCACTGGTTTGTTTTTTTTGATGGTGGAATTCTTACTTGTGGATTAATAATAGGATCATGGCCTTAGCCAATACTTTTGTTTTGTTTTAAATTAAGAGATCCCCAAATGCCTTTTACCCTCTCATCTTGGGATGAGAGATGAGCTTTATGTATAAGCGATATTTATTTAACTATTCTATAAAATCACTGAGTGCCCGCTGAGGCCTTTAAGCATTCCTAACATTCCCTGCCATCGCTCTTAAATGGCAGAAAGTAACTGTGCAATGTTCCTGATCATGTGCCCAGCAAGCTGCACCCAACCCCGAACCTGTTGGAACGAGCAATTCAACAAAGTGCGTTTTGGATCCGATCCTCACCCCTGGGCTGTGAGAAAGATTGTCACAGAGGTTCCCCGGGTGGAACTCTGACCCAGTCTCTACTGTATTTTACATGTGCCTGTGAATTATTTGCAAGAAAGAAAGAAAATGGTATTTTAACATGGCAACTACCAAACTACCTTAGAAACAAACGTTGGTGACATAGCCAGCGAAGTGTCGGGGAGCTGCGTCCCCGCGTGGGCCTGTCTGTCCCTGTCGTTTCAGAACCATTTCATGTACACTACTGAGGTGAGTTTATAACTTGAAATGTGAACTTTTTTTTTTTTAGGGTTAAGAACAAACTATATAAATGTACAAAAAAAAAGTTTTAGAGTTCTGTTTTCAGACATGCTAGTAGTTTAGTTATCTTTAGCTGCTTCGTACTTGAAAAACTTTCATGTAGATTTGCTCCATTTACAGTACATTCACAGGATGTATGCAGAAAATAAAGCTTTCTTCAAAGCAATTTCAAGACCTTATTTTAAATTGTGTTTTCTTTATACTGATTTATTTTTTTTCTAGCAAAATTAACAAAACCCTTATAGCACAGAAGGGATCAGCTAATTCAGTGTTTTCAGGTGGGGAAATTGGCAAGCTATAGTCATGTGTTCGGCTGTGAATCACCATTGAGTTGAGCTGCACAGTGGAATGTGAATTACTAGCATCCGCAAACGCCAGCTCATTCCAACACGACTCGGCCTCTGGACTGGAGCAGGGCGTGGCAAAGCCCGTCACTGCGGCAGTGCTGAGGTTTGTTTATGATTGCAAAAGCTTTACACTCGGAGCTTGAGATGGAGGCCGCTGATGTGACATTGAGTTTTTTGGTGGTCTCGTGAATGTGCTCGGGTGACCTTGATGTTGGTCACTGCGTTTGAAACCAAAGCCACCTTGTTTCTCCTTTTCACAGTGCACAGCAGGGTTAACAGAACACTTCCCTTTTCTCTAGAGATCATCACTAACTTCAGACGGTATTTATCAGCAAAGTCAATCGAATGACAGGAGGGAAGGTGGTGGGTTGTCAGTGGAGTTCCTTCTAAAAATTGTTCCATTTAGTCTGCCCATGAGTAAGAATTTTACCTTCCTAACATTGAACGTGGGTTATGACTTCCCAACGTCCATTTCTCGGAATTCTAACTTCCCGTTTCCTCTTAAAATGGATAAAGGCCCTTTTAGAGGCAGAATAGGCTGGGAAACCTCCCAAAATGACAGATCATTAGGCAATGTTTTTAAGGGCAACAAGATCTGCTGATTCCCTCTTACTCTAAGAGAAAACTGTAGATGCACTTCAAGTTGCTGAATCACATTCAGAGTTAGATTCATCTCATTAGAAAAAGAATTAACAGTCGTACAGATCACGTACTGTATCTCTCCCAGGTGCTGCAGCAACAGAATGAACAATTTTGCGTGTACGGCTTACATTATAGTGGGGGAACAGACAAAACGAGGAGGTCAATAGTATGTCAAGTGAGGATAAATGCTGTCACCATGAGATTCACTCGGCTCCTTGGCTTCCATCATCTCACGTGGGCCTCGCAAGAACTCAGCGATACAGGCACAGCAGATGGGGGGCTGGCCAAGGTCACACAATTGGAAATAACCAGGACTAAAATCTGCACTCAGACTCCAAGGCCCAGATCCTTCCCGGCAGTACACTGCCCCTGGAAATGGGTAAATAGAGTAGAGTAAGAAAATCGAGTAAGAAAAGCAAAGCCTTTCGACGAGTGTAGTCTCTTTCCTGTTGGCTTTTTGTGTGTTTTTATATGTAACTTAGGGAGTGGAAAAAATGGCTGAAAATGCCTCCTCTCAACCTGGAAGACCGCAGCGGTAAGCAGGGCTGGCGAAAATGTGTGCGCTGGCGGATTTAGGGATTCTGACGACGAGGCTGTCCCAAAGACTCTGAAGGAGGCTGACCAGCCAGCATAGGAAGTCAACTCTACGTCCTGATTCTTTACTAGAGTACGTGCCCCACTTTTTTATTCCAAAAGTATGTCATGACAACATAACAAAGCACTGATCTAGTTGAAAGTCAGAACAATTAGAAAACCTAATGTTTCTTGTACATTGCCTCAGTTTTTACATGATATTATCTTTATTATAAAGTATTCTGGGCACTTAGCTTTTATATCAGAGTTGGTTTTGGGTTTTGTTGTTTTTTTGTTTTTTTTTAATCATATGAAGTTTGACATTTTGGCATAGCCGTTTTGACAAAATGACATTTTGACACCATGACCCTAAGAAAAATACATCTTCAACTTTTTTTTTTTTTTTTAGTTTTTCTTTTCATTTTTACATGGAGAGAATCTTCAACTTTTAAAAAAATTACTAAGTTGACACATAGTACTTACCTTATCCTACCTCTTCCTTGACACATTCCCCATTTTTGAACCCCCAAGGTCAAACATAGGATTAGGTTTAAATAATGTTTTGCATTAAAAAAAGTTTTGCAAAATGTTTTGCTTCAATTCCAAGGTCTAAGCTACCAGACTGGTTATAGCCTTTTCTTTCTCCTTCTTTTGTTTATCAGTCTTCCCTATCTAGATGCCCAGTATTCCTGTTTTCTAAGTCCGCATGCTAATAAACCTGGGGAAAAAATGTGATTCCGCAAATACTTACCTCTATGAGCAAGCGCCGCAGCCTAGTAAACAGTCAGGGTTTGCAGTCAGAACGCCTGGAGAGAAACCTCAACTCTGCCGCTTCCCAGTCATTTGAACTTGGAAAAGCCTCCTTGCCTCTTTGTGCACCAGTTTCTTAGTTGGTAAAATAGAGGTAATAATTCTGACCTCATAAGGTCATTGTGAAAATCTGATGAGTTAATGAATCTTTAAAAGCCTGGTATGTTGTAGGCACTCTTCTAGAAAGTTATTTCCTTTCCCTTCCCCTTTTAAAACGGTAGTGTGAGTGCATTCCTCCATATCAATTCCATCAAGCCTTTCCGTTTTAAGCCTTTTTATTCTTTTATTCGCCCATTCATTCAATACCCATTGATGAGGGCCGACTGTGCCGGTCTAACAGGGAACACCGGAGAAACAGTCAACAGAAGTGACCCTCTCTGCCTTCTGGAAAATCCCAGGCATGATGGGACGGTGTTTCATGGGAGGGACACCCACCCGGGCTTGGGCAGGGAGTTCATAACGCTTTGGGGGAGACGTGGCTTCTGCGCAGAGATCTGCAGAATGAGTAGGAGTTGGGGCAGATGAGCCAGGAGGAAATAAGAGGAAAGGCCCAGGCCCAGAGGAAAAACAGTCACGGCCCTGAAAGCAGTTCAAGGCGCCTCAGAGGAGAAGGAGAATGGGTGTGCAGCAGCCCAGCCTTCGCTCCATTCAGCGTCAGGCGTGGTCTATGGACCTGCATTAACTGTGGGAGGAAGAGTTTTAGTCCCCACAACAGAGGATGGGAGCCAACACTCAAGTGGTAAGAACCCTAAATCATTCCTTCTTCCTTAGGACTTTCAGAAAATGATGGGGCCCTGCATTTATTCACCCTGCTGAAGACGACAGTCTTTAGCACAGTGCATCTGAGGGCTCCCCCAGGCGGGAAGCTTCCTCCCTGCTGCCTTCCTGGCCCCAGGGAATGCTTGTCAACACTGATCCTGCCCAGGAGAGTTTGTAGGGTTGCCCACCCCTTCCTTCTTCAGGTCCAGCTTCCAGCCTCTGGAACCTTCTACCCTTTCCTCTCTGGGGTTAGCAGCTGCATGTGCCTGCCAGCGTGTCCCCACTGTTCCTAGGTAAAGCCCCCTTGGGACAGGAATGCAGCCTTCTCAGCAAAGGTGATGGGGGCTACCGTTCTCCAGATGACTGTGAGGGCGGGGGAGGGTCCCAAGTAAGATCTTCAGAGCCGCACTGGCTTCCCCAGTAGGGTCCTATTTCCGTGCACCTCCATTCTGCACGCTACACCCACAAACAACAGCAACGCCAAACCCTGCATGTGCAAGAAATTTGATCTTTGCTGAGCTAATTTTTAGCCACCCTTATTTCTTGACTTGCTCTACTTTGTTTGTCAAAAAATCTTCATTAATGATTAACCAACCATGAGGCTTAAATAGGCCTTAGTCATTCTGAGGCAGGCAAGACGTGTCACCGAAGTCCAGTTGTTTCTGAAATGACCTTGCTGGGGTGCGGGGTCAAGACACTGAGCTTATGATATTATGATAATGGCGGGCCAAGCCAGTGCCATTTTGCTGGGATGTTTCCTCTCCTTTTTCAGGACCTTTCTTCCAAGCTGTGGTAGCACGCGGGGATGGTATCATTTCCAACGGCCTCACAGTCCTTGCCACCCCAGCTCAAATACGGCCGTTTGAACCTTCTCAATCTTCCGGAAAGTGCTAGGTGGACTCAGCTAATCTCCCCTTTTCAAATAAGATGCTTCCCCTAAGAAGTGAAATTCTGGAAATGCAACTGATTCTAAATGTGCTCTAGCATTTATAGAGGGAATCTTTCCAGTACAAGAAACAACAGCAAAAATAATCTAGTTGGCAGAATTTCCCAATTCTTAAGTGCAAATATCCAAACCATTGTGCACTCAGTGAAGGCTGCCTTCGGTGAGCATTTCTTGTTCTTGCTCTTCATTTTCCTTATGTTTGAGAACAATGTTCAAGTCTTAGATGGTGATCGCTCAGCAGAAAATAAGAGTAATGGCTGACTCACTACATGCCAACTGAATACTCACCATACATCAAGTAGTTTACACGGATGTCTTAAAAACTTCTTATTGAAAGATAGCATAGGCCGGGCACGGTGGCTCACGCCTGTAATCCTAGCACTCTGGGAGGCCAAGGCGGGCGGATCGTTTGAGCTCAGGAGTTCGAGACTAGCCTGGGCAAGAGCGAGACCCCGTCTCTAAAAAAAAAAAAAGAAAGCATAGATACAGAATGGTGCGCATGTCACAGCATGACGAATGTTCACAAACTGAGCACAGCCATGTACCCAGCATCCAGATGAGGAACCAGACCAGTATTCCAGAAGCTTCCCTGTGGTTCTTTCCGGTGACCACCTCATCAAGATAAACTGCCATCCTGACTTCTAACAGCACTGGTAGAAGTTTTGGGGTCATTTTTTCATACATGAGGTAACTATTACTATTGCCACATTTTACAGAAGAAAAGCAAAGAGGCAGAAGGAGGTTTAATAACTTGCCCCGGATCACAGAGCTGGCGAGTGAGTGGAGGAGCCTGGTTCTGACCTGGGGCCAGCTCAGTGCGGAGCTGGGCTGCGCCCAGGGGGCTTATAATTCACCCATTTTATAAGGACTCCGAGTCGCCGTTTGTTCTAGAAGTTACAGTGATCTCCCGACAGAGTCACTTCCTCATGGAGGTCACTGGAGCAAGTGGAAAGGAAGGACCAAAGGGCACACATGCGGCAGAGCATGGGCTACGAACCGTGCTGGAGCCTCCGGGTCCGCAGGATGACCTTTTTCCCGGTGCCTCCGCCTCTCCCGCAGCAGCACGCCTACCCAGCTCTGCCCGCAGGAGGGGCGGGAAGAA